GAACTATGAGCCGAATTGAACCATAGCTTAAATACTTAAAAAGCACCTGGAAAGTTACATTAACTTATGTCAAAGAAGTGTTTCTAACCAAAAAAGAACTAGCCCTTTACAGGTAGTAATACCATACAGTTTCCTTCAGACTATGTACTTTCAGCAGAATATGTAACAGACATGTTGAAGGTTAAGTTGGGCAGCCATCATGCGACAAATAGAGATTTCGACAAGAATGATATCCAGTGTTGCGTACTAGGTAATTCTGAATCTACCAGCATATATGATTTCAGTTAAAAATCTGTTTTCGCTGCTAACTAGTATTAATAAAGTAAGGCTCGCTTATGGATAATGTAATTCATATAATTATAATTCGTGCGAATCACATAACTATGCATCCAAATAAGATTTTTATCACTCGAGAATAAGAAAGCGGATCAATGTACGCTATAGTGAGTTCCAGAAAAAAAAGATTTTTACTGAAAGCGGTATTTTTATAAAATTCTAAGAACACAATGGCACTCAGCGTATTCGGTCACATAATTCTGAATAACGTGTCGAATATAACTCTAACAGAAAAAATCAAATTTTAATACTCATTTTTCATTCTTTTGTTAACTTATTTAAAGTCTCTTAATTTAAGAATGATTATCGTTTGTGCACTACCAAAGCTAATGTTATACATCCGCTTAACACAGCTTCGCTGTTAACTACGGACACTGTCACTGTCAATTGCTTTTGTATTATTGATTATGCATCGAATCCACTTGCAACATTTCCATACACAATGACGAGACGCGCATGACATAATATAAGAGCAAATTGCCCTTTCCAAGTTCTCCTGCGAATCAGACAGTAACTCTCAATTAACAATTGTGGTATTTTATTCTAAATAGGCCAAAGCCGATGCAATCGATGCATTAGAAAAATATCGTGGTCATTGTGCACCATGCTTTCTGTTTTATGCCAGTGGTACACTCGTAGATGCTGTGAGAGGAGCAAACGCACCAGAGTTACAACGAAAAATTATGTCTAATCTTGAACAAGAAAAAACAATTTTGAAGGAAGGAGGTCAGAGAAATGAGGTAAGATAGATATGTGCATGTAGTTTCAGTGAAAAACAGTATTACATTGTTCCACTCTTTTCATTTAATTTAGTACCGGTTTGAATTCGATGAAGATATTGATGAGGACGAAGATGTGGATATCAAACGAAATCGTAGTTTTTCGGTGGTTAATGCAGTTAGTAAGTGAAATTGTATTACAAAAACATATTTGTACCATAAAATGAACCAAGTCCAACGATTCTTTCAGTAGACTGATTTGGACTAGGAAGCAACAGAGTTTATCCATCGCTGATTGAAATATCCTGTTTTCTATTCGACTTTAGCTAGTCACAAATATACTGTTGCCGTTATTCGACCGGATGCTGTTGCTGACGGAAAAACTGCAGATATCACTGACAAAGTTTGTCATATTCTGATAACATCTCTATGACTTTAGAAAAAATATTTACATTCTAGATCAAACAGCAAGGCTTCAAGGTTTTGCATCAAGAAGAAAAACAGTTGAATGAACATGATGCTCGAAATTTGTACAAACATAAAATGAATGAGGTACATATATTTGAATTTTTGATATATTATTAAAGATTATAACATTTTTGTCTTTAGCCAATTTACGAAGAACTTATTCAATTAATGTGCAGTGGTCCATGTCTTGTTCTCGTACTCCAAAAATTTGATGCTAAAGAATCGAGTGTGGAAGACTTTCGAGAATTACTTGGTCCATGGGATGTGGAGCAGGCTCGCTCAACAAAACCTGATAGTTTAAGAGCTTTATTTGGTACAGACGGTTGGCGAAATGCTGTTGATGGTAGTGATAGTTTAGATTCAGCACAACGGTATGGTATTACTACCTGTAAAGGGCTAGTTCTTTTTTGGTTAGAAACACTTCTTTGACATAAGTTAATGTAACTTTCCAGGTGCTTTTTAAGTATTTAAGCTATGGTTCAATTCGGCTCATAGTTC